TTCTAACAGGAAACCAGACATGATTACCCTTTTTCATTCGGTTCATCTATTTCTTCCCAATAAAATAGACGAGTATGCTACTAAAAGGAAGAGAAAAGAAGACTTTGTTCAATTTAGAATCAGTTTACTTATGTCTACATAAATCTCTTTCAAACAACAAACCTAAACTTTGAAGCATATTGACAATTCAGTGAAGATTACAGAAGATGAAAGTAGAGGGTTTTGAGAAAACTCACAAGATGTGCACGGTATGCGCTTTGGATCTTGATGGCAGCTAAACTTCTGTCTCCCTTGGAAAGATATGAGTAAGAACGAGAAGCACCCGTGAGCTTGACAACCTCAGCAGCAGCATGTGCAGCAGCAACTGCAGCTTCAGCAGCTGCTGCAGTTGCAATAGCCACAGTTAAAGCATGTTTTCTCTGTTCTGCACTTGCTTCAATCAATGTCTTATTTGGAGCTGTAATTGTAGGATACTGTCTCTGCTTGATCCTTCCAAAACTCCACCCCCACTTGTTTGGCTTCTGAAGTACACAAGGAAAATTTTTAACCAAAATGAGTACTTCACCATTGTTAGACAATTGTTAAGTTTGTAAATGTGAATAGCCTTACTTTGTTGCCCTTTGGCTCAGAAGTGAATAGCCTTTTTACCCATCCAAACCAGCTCTTTCTCTTTGCCATGAAGATTTATGGCATCATTCAAACCGAATTCTTCACACAACATTTCTGTTCTTGAAGCACATTTCTGCTCTTGATATTGAAGAAAAAGGGGGGAAAGCAAAGAGTCAAATTTAGAGATTTAAAATACAAATTTCATTGTTCCTACTAAACAATTAAGATGCTTTAGTCATCATTCTATTTTATTTTCTCACCTAGCTGTTCTATTCATTTGTCAACATAAAAGAAACCTACCCCCAATAAGGACCAAAACTGCCACTGATCAACTTTCATTTTCAGTAACAATCATTTATTGGCCCAATAGAACTGAAATATACCATGAACAGTAATGCTTTTCAATCATAAAAAAAGGTAAAAGGAAGAAAAAAACACCACATGTAAAGTGCACACAAGAATATTTCTCAAGCATGGTCATATCAATGCTAAAAGTTAGGCCACTTCAAGAAACTACCCTTTTCGTAAAGCATGCTACACCTAGTGACTTATGTTGCATGAAGAAACAGAATGGCTTGGTGA